CCAGTTCATATTGATCATCAATACAGCAGTCTATCAGATCACATCAATAACCAGTTCATATTGATCACCAACTGAGCAAACCTCCAGACAACATCAATAATCTATCAGTTCCCACTGACCGTCAACAGAGCAGTTGATCAGATCACATCACATCACATCACATCACATCACATCACATCACATCACATCACATCACATCACATCAACAATCGGTCAGTTCACATTGATCATCGATAGAGCAGTCCATCAGATCCTAGGTCAAAAATCAGTTTGCATTGATCATAAATAAAGCAGTCCATTAGATCACAGATCAATAATCAGCTTGTTCACATTGGCCATCACTAGAGCAGTCCTTCAGACCACAGGTAATAATAAATTTATGTTAACAATCAATAGAATAAAAATTTTACATCAATAATCATTTCATTTGCCAACACAGCAATCATTTAGTTCATGTTAACAATCAGTTAAGTGTATAATTTACTTCAACAATTTACTTCAATAACGACAACATACATTTAGTCATAGATTAATAAGGGATAGATAGAACCAATTGATTAATCTCGCAATAACTATCATTAATGTAGTAATTGTTATTGATTGTTTAAACTGAATTGATGATTAATCTGTAGCTAAATCACCCAGTTGACAGATATGAAGTGGCATGGATCCATCTGCTTATCCAAATAGCAAGACATAAATTAATCAGTGATTAATAATGCAGACATCAATACCCAGATTAAATAATTGAGTCATTTATTCACAAATTAATAATCAATAATCATTTTATTCAGATCAATAATCAACAGATATGGACATTTATTCAGATCAATAATACAGACGTTTATTCAGATCAATAATTGATAGGTACAGAAGTTTATTCAGATCAAAATTCAGTACATTCATTTAGATCAGTAATCAACAGATACAGATGTTTATTCAGATTAATCAGGTAGAGGCATTTATTTCAATCAATAATTGGTAGAGGCAGACACTTATTCACTTAATAATTAATAGATACAGACATTAATTCCAAGATTAATAATCAGAGAATACATACATTCATTCCCAGATTACTAATCAGTAAAATGCATGCATTTATCCCCAAATTAATAATCAATGTTTATACAAGAAAAGACCAGTTTTGCAGATTAACAATGATCTGGAAGTGAACCGATTCACTGACATGTTAATGAAGAATATTGCATTTCAGGTGAATTTGTACACAGTCAATAAGTTGATCAATTTACAAAAATTTGGAAAGATTAGAAGATGGGAAGGTCAGTAATAGGTAAATGAATCAGTTTGTAGATAAATTAATAAATTTGGAAACTAATTCAATTTGCAGCATCTAAAACAGACAACTAAATTAATCGGTCTGTGACTAGAAATATAACAAATCCATGTTGTAGTCATAAATAAACAAACACTGGCTAATTTAGTTGTTGTTTAAATCCATTTATTTCAATGTAATTTGAAGATATATTTTGGAGTAGGGAATATATATCAATCAGAATGTAATGTAGATGTTGAAATCAATAATTAACAATTATAATAGCCCATGATAAATAGAAATGTACAATTAGGTAGTTGTACCACGATTAATAGGAAGTGATGGCATTATATACCTTAATAGTCTTGTGGAAAAGTATATTGATGTAAATGTGCAGAAAGTGACAAGTGGATGAATTATTGAATGTAGATGAATTAACTTTTATTATTTAATAATATTTGGCTTCTACACAAAAGTTAGGTGAATCTAAATTACATTCTAACATCACATTTTGATGATTCTTTTGGTCTTACCATTTTTTCTGGGGGAAATTTTATTGCTGTTTTGGTGTCAGATTGGCTCGGGAGGTGGTGGTGAAATGGCAATGTCACTGTAGGGTGACTAATCAAGAAACTAAGGTTAATATTTTGTAGACTTGAATTCAAATCCCATCATGTAAGATGGTGAAATTTGAATTCAATGAAAAGCAAGCCTAGTGTTTGGTTTTGCTTTGATTTATTGTTGTAATATGTACCTGGGTTCAGTGAAAAGTTTTGTTTTGCGTGCCATATAGGCAGATCATACCATACAAAGTGCCTTAAGGTAATAGAACAGAGTGAGGAATACAATGTAAGATAGTAAGAATTGCTGATGCTGGAGTCAGAGATAACACATTGTGGAGCTGGAGGAACACAGCAGGCCAGGCAGCATCAGGGGAGCAGGAAAGCTGATGTTTCGGGTCAGGACCCTTCTTCAGAAATGGGAATACAATGTTAAGGCTACAGAGAAGGTGTACAGAGAGCAAGGTCAAAATTAAATTTAAAATTTGAGAGTTCTATTCAGAAGTCTAATAACAGCAGGGAAGAAGCTGTTCTTGAATCCGTTGGTATGTGTGTTTAAGCTTTTGTATCTTCTGCTCTACGGAAAAGTTTGGAAGAGATTATAACCGGTGTGGGGAGTCTTTGGTGATGTTGGCTGCTTTCCTGAGGCGGTGGAAGTATAGATGGAATCGATGGAAGTTTGGTTTGCGCTATGTTCACAACTCCTTGTCGTTTCTTACGGTCCTGGGCAGAGCAGATGCCGTACCAAGCGTGATCCATCTGGATACAATGCTTTATATGATGCTTCTGTAAAAAATTGGTAAGTGTCTTTATGGACATGCTGAGTTTCCTTGGCCTCCTGAGGGAGTAGGGGCGTTGTTGTGCTTTCTTGACCACCGCATCAACGGACAGATTGTTAGTGATCATCGCTCCTAGGAACTTGATGCTGTTGACCATCTCCACCTCAGCACCATTGATGTAGACAGGGGCATGCCCCCCCCCGCTTCCTGAAGTCATTCAGGAATAGCATCCATTGCGGACTAATGGAGGCGATAAATGGATCAAAGGTTTTGGGGGAGAAAGCAGCACCAGAGTTACTGAGTTGAATGATCAACCATGATCATTTTGAATGGCAGGTTAGGCTTGAAGGGCCAACTGGTTTACTCTTGCTCCTGTTTTCTACGTTTCTATGTAAAATTCTGAAACTCTGTCTCTGCTGGTTTTGTTGGGTCTACCACCAGCACATTGACTGCAGCAGTTCAAGAAGGCGGCTCAACACCACCTTCTCAAAGGTAACTAATAAATGATGCACCAATCGGTGATGCCCACATCCCAAGAATGAATGAAAAAAAAACACTGTTGATTGTCGCAACAACCCATTTGCTTCTTTAAATTAAATTAAATGTAGGGAGTTGGGTGTTGGCAGGAAGCGGTGTGATTGAAGGTGGAGTAGCTCTCCCCACCCCCCATTCTGAACGACAATGATAAAACCATATTGTGTTTGTGAATTTCTTCTGTGTGCAAACTGTATATGTCCTGTTTCCAACACTGCAGCACATGTTCACATGTATTTCGTTGACTTTGAAGCACTTTGCAGGTCTTGAGCTGGTGAGAGCCACTATAGCCATGTAGGTCTGTCTAAGAGGCCAAGGCACAGGTGATTGAGAACATGACTGTTTCCTAAGTGATTTATTTCCCGGGTTTAGGACAGGTCTCTTGCTTTATAGTATCAAGAGACAAGTCTGTCACTGTATAACACTGGGGTACAGTACAGGTGGGCACAGGTCTGTCACTGTATAACACTGGGGTACAGTGCCGGTGGGGACAGGTCTGTCACTGTAAAGCACTGGGGTACAGTGCCGGTGGGGACAGGTCTGTCACTGTATAACACTGGGGTACAGTACCGGTGGGGACAGGTCTGTCACTGTATAACACTGGGGTACAGTACCGGTGGGGGACAGGTCTCTCACTGTATAACACGGGTACAGTACCGGTGGGGACAGGTCTGTCACTGTATAACACTGGGGTACAGTACAGGTGGGCACAGGTCTGTCACTGTATAACACTGGGGTACAGTACAGTTGGGGCCAGGTCTGTCGCTGTATAACACTGGGGTACAGTATAGGTGGGCACAGGTGTGTCACTGTATAACACTGGGGTACAGTACAGTTGGAGCCAGGTCTGTCACTGTATAACACTGGGGTACAGTACAGGTGGGGACAGGTCTGTCACTGTATAACACTGGGGTACAGTACAGGTAGGGACGGGTCTGTCACTGTATAACACTGGGGTACAGTGCCGGTGGGGACAGGTCTGTCACTGTATAACACTGGGGTACAGTACAGTTGGAGCCAGGTCTGTCACTGTATAACACTGGGGTACAGTACAGGTGGGGACAGGTCTGTCACTGTGTAACACTCGGGTACAGTACTGGTGGGGTCAGGTCTGTCACTGCATAACTGTGTGCCGTACTCGTGAAGTATTTTGAACCATCTGGTGATGGTGAAATACCGTATAGAAGTGCAGTTCTTTTTAGGGTCCAACTCTGTGTTTTTCACTTCCTTTCCCTGCTTATTGCCCTCCCAAAAATATCTCTGGCATCACACTGTGTTTGTAATATGTTGTGTTTGTGTCCTGGAAGCCTCCTTGAAGTTTGGGAGCCTCCCGTCACTTTAAATTTTCTATCTCCTAACTCGCATGCGACCAGAACCATGAAATAGTTTGAAAGTGGAGCGAGTGAGATCTGGGAGGTTTTCCATCCCTTCAATAAGCAGAGCAGGCTTTTATGTCCCTCTGTAGTTTGTGAATTGAGTGTGCTGAAGTTGTCAAGTAGGTCACAACGTGCTGCAGATTCATCAAA